AAAACTATGTATTTTATTTTATAATCATAGCTTAGTGCTCCACGCACACCAAAGTTTGATCCTAATCTTATTTGTTATTATGTAAATTGCTGAAATGGAGCTAGTCTCCTTGCTGATCTAGTTGACAGATTCTATTGTTACTGTGGAAATTTCAGGTGGTCTAAATTATAGGAGAGACTCTGTCGAAATTCCTACAAAACATTCAAAACTTTACAAACTTTATTATTATATATAACTTACATAAATTGATATTTTAGCTTAATTCCTGACTAATCAAGGCTTATGGAATATGAGTTTACCTTTTATTTCATGCCGATCATACCTTTAGTATTAGGGTGTGACAATATTTCGATACGGACCTAGTACATCTCAAATTTAAAAATTCTTCTATCTTGGCATGTCACACCCCAATACTAATGTTGTGATTGACACAAAATATGAGATAAACTCATATTCCATAAGCCTCAATTATCCAAATATTTAACTATAATAGTGATAGATATTTATACTGATCAATAAATCATATAATATATATATATATATATATAATTATAAAGTTCATAAAGTCTTAAATATTCCATAAAAATTTTGGCAGAGTCTCCCCTATAATTAGAACATCCCAAAATTTCTATAGCCAATAAACCTGTCAGCAAATCTAGAAGAGGAGCTTAACTCCACACCAGTAGATTATATGATAACAAAAATAGGACCAAAACCCAACTACGGTATACATGGAGCACTAACTACCATTGTATAATATAATGACTATTTACATTAAAATAAACAATTGAAGCATGCTTCCACTGTCCAAAATGCAATAGAGCCCCTCAATGATTTGCAGGAGGTGCAGGGTCAACTACATTATCTAAGACCAAAGAAATTTTTCGGTGAATAATATCCCAACAACAAATAATAGAACATAAATAAAATGAAAAGTTCGAAATAGTTATGTAAGTTAAAGAAACAAAAATTTTTGTAAAAATTCAATAAACTTCATAATAAAATGTCTGTATAAAAATTCAAGAAAATCTCAAATTATTGAACTATTGTAGCAAATGATAATATCACTTGATTTCAAGAAAGCACATAAATAAAATAAATATTTATAAATAAATTGCTGAATAAAGATCAATGGAATATAAAATCATTAAATAATTGAATTCATAATTACAGGGACTTATCGGAATAATTAACAAACGTGGACACACAGTCCACAAGGGTAAATAACCAAACGTAGCTGAAACCAAGAAACAAATGTGTCACAGTCTACGAGGGTAATGCTAACCAAATGCGACTTGAAGCCACGAAACAAACGTGAGTACGATGCTCATAAATAACCATCCCTCCGTTCCACGTGCGTTGGCCATCGCATGAGGCTAGCACCTCCTATACACACCCTGCTAGTTAGGTGTACCATGGCACGCCAAGGGCTAACGGAACTGCCGTTAGCAACTAGTATTCTGTATAAAGTCCCTTTTTAAATCTACTTTCAAACATGTGAGAAAATCATCATTGGTAAAATATAATTTTCATTTTCAATGTCAAACTCGTATGAATCGTTTTTCCATAGCAATTCAATGATTTTCAGAATGAAATCCCATAATCAAAGTCCAAACTTGTATTTATTGAATAATTGACATTTCAAAAGTGCTAAAGGTAATTTCATAAAATAAAGAAGTTTAATTAACAAATTATCCAGTACTCACATTAGTACAGGAAATTTTATTAGAAAATTAGTTGGGACGTTTTCCACTTACCTGAAAAATTCTCCAAAAATTCTAAAGCTTGTTTTACTTCAACTTCTCACTTTAATTCCAACAATGCCATTAACTCCCTAACAAATAAATCACAATTTTAAAATCATTTTTGTCACTCTTTTCTTAATGTAAGTAAGCATTTAACTATCAACTTCCAACAACTAGCAAAATTATCTTTATTGTATTAATCTCTTACTACATCATTCAACTTTACTTGTCAAGTAATTTCCCAAACACTTGGTGGATATTCAACTAATATTCAAAATAGTACCATAATCATTTAAACTTTAAGTATACTTGAGTCAATTAAACTATTTAACAAATCATACTCTATCCCTACAACTCCTCTTAACATAACATTAAACTTCTCATTGTTACAATTTCTCTTTTAGGCATTTTAACTGATACTTTATGGGCACTCAAGATGATATATAAGTAAACATCTCCTTAACCCTCTATCAATAATCCTTTTCAAACACGTCCAGACTTGTCAAGAATACGTTACATCAAATACAACCTGGTATCAAAATAAAATAACAGCCAATTGTTACACCAACACACCTCAGTTCAAATTCAACAATTATATATTTCAAAATGCCAACACAACCTATTAGAGTTTTCTCAAATCTCTCTCTGTTTTTCTTTAACTGATTTTGTAAGATATAACAGCTATCAAACCTTTCCAAACTCTTATTTAGTTCCCATCTTCCTTCCTCCTCCAACAATTCCATTGCAACTGAAATGAGTTTCTTTGTTCTCTCTCTCTCTGTGTATGTTTTTTTTTCCACAGCAGCAAAAATCAAAGAAGAGATAGCACCTATCGGTCATAGGAGGAAGAGAAATTGAGGTTACTTCATGCCCAGAACTGAGGAGGAAGAGAAGTTCAAGATGACGCACCACGCATCACTGTCAGCCACGAAGCAAAGAGGAGGCAAAGAACGGCCAAAGAAGGCAGCGAATCCAACGATCTCCCACTTCCAGCTGCAAAATAGCGACGCGAACAGAGGAAGCCGATGGCAAAGATCTAGGAAGCAAGTCGATGGTGAAGAGCAGAAACGCAAACCGACAGTAAAGAATCAAGGGAGCTCATGTCAGTGAAGAAAGGAGATAAATTGAGGTAAAACGAAATGATCTGTTTCGCGTAGGAAGAATATACATTTTGACCAAAAAGGAAAATTGGGAAAACTACAAGATATGTCACAAGAAAAATTACAAAAATGAGCCCAAAATTTTTTATAATTTAAAATAAAATAAAATCAAACTTTTGCTCAATGAAAATCAAACTCTGGACCTTCAAAAAGTTACTAAAATAAATTTCACTAAACTATCACTCTTTACTTCTTATAAAACTAATTTAAATATTTCACTAAACTATCACTCTTTACTTTTTATAAAACTAATTTAAATAAAAATATCAATTAAAAATATTTTATTTAAAATTTTGGGTCATTACATGGCATCTCTTTTACTTTATGGAAGATGACATTGAAGGAATACATCTTTGAATTCTTCCTAGGATAAAGATGGCACCCTTTTATCCTTGACACCTGGAATAGTTTTAACCCATTCTTTTGTTACCCCGTTGAGTTGAAAAATATCAAACTCCACACACTATACATTTGGGCACCTCAAGGTTTGACACCTCTTTTCCACGCCCTCAAGGAACGCTACTAGATTTTCTTTCTCATTGGTTTCAAAGAAGGTAGGAGGATTCAACTTAATAAAATCAACCAATTTTGGCCATGGCAACCTCTTCATTAGTAGCACTAACATTTTCTCTTTTAGTGCCAGGTGTAGATGATGAAACACCCTCATGAGATTGAGGGTTCAAAGGTTTGGCCTCAAATACAATCTCCTGAATATGCATATGGGGTCGACAACCCCTAATCTTTACTCTCCTAAGACCCTACCCTCTACTATGAAAGGGCGGTTCATTCATTCTATGAAGCAAAGGACCTGCCAGATGTCTTACTACAAGTGAAACTTCTACTAGAGGGACGACGCTTAAGTGGCATTCTTACTATAGAAGGAAACATAAGAAATATTTAGTTAAAACACAGCAACTATATAGGAAGCATGATAAGTAAGGTGGGAAATGACTCTTTTTGGGACACACTAATAGGACTTTCAATGAAATCTCAATTATTATTATACCTGAGTTCATAATAATAATAATTGAATCTCCAAAGAAAAATCATTGCTCCACGTATACCCAAGAAACCTAGGTAACCCAAGAATCCTTGCTCTAATATCATTGATCACACCCCGACATCAAGGATGTGATCGACATGCAATATGAGGTGAACTCATATTCCATAAGCCTTGATTAACTAAGAATTAAACTAAAATATCAATATAGGTAAGTTATAAATATTAATAAAGTTCATAAAGATTTAAACGTTTTGTAAAAATTTTGACAGAGTCTCTCTTATAATTTGAACCTTCCAGAATTTTCACAACAACAACAGAACCTACCAATCAAACCAGCAAGGAGTCTGGCTCCTTTCCAACAACTTGCATAATAACAACATAAAATTTGGATCTTATAGTGATATATGTGGAGCACTAACTTATAATTTACAAAATATAGTACAAAATTCTACCAAAAAGAATAATCACCATGTAATAATCCAAAATTTTTAAATAAAATTAAAATATAAAATAATATTTTTAATTTTATTTATATTAATTTAAAAAAATTATTATTTTTATTAGAAAAGAATGTTGATTTGGTGGAGTTTTATTGATAATTTACATGCATAAGATACAAGGTACACAAGGTCAAATTACTCTTTCAAAAAGAAAGATATTTTTTATGTCGGTTTCAGCTTTGCAAATTTACTATTTTGACCTCAAAAGCAATCAAATTTATTCTCTTTCCTGGACCATTTTCTTTTTATTTTCATTAGTCCATCAGAATCAAAAACAGAGGATAGAGACGCAAGGGAGAGTGAGATCCAGATTTGAGCCTTCATTCTCCTCCTTGCTTGGCTTTCCTCCTTCGCCGGTGAGTGGTGTATCGTCTTCTGCCGCTGCAAGGTGTCCCGACGAAGTGATTATCAGCCTTCTCCCCTATTGTGTCAGCTAAGAAACTTCCCTTGTTGACGGTGGGTGTCAGATCCTTCTCCCTCCTCTGTTCTTAGCGTCACCGGCGTGGGTGGCAAGGATTTGACTTGCCACCACCTTCCTCTACCTACGCTTCACTTCATTCAGCTTTTTCTGCCATCTCCTTCTGCTCTTAAAATAATTAAATTAAACAAAATTTAGTTTTTACATGTGAAAGATAGACACTAAAATATTCATCTCTCTAAATGAGCACCTAGTCCAAATATTTTTCCAGTACTTTCATTTGTCACACATGCCTTTTCTAAGGAAAATGAAAATGTTGACACAGATTCTACACATAGTCTGATTTTGGATTGGCAGATGCGGTTTAACATAATTCTAGGAGTAGCTCGAGGGATGTTATATCTTCATCAAGATTCTAGATTAAGAGTAATTCATAGAGATTTGAAAATAAGTAACATTCTTCTGGATGAGGACATGCAACCAAAAATTTCAGATTTTGGCTTGGCAAGAATATTTGGAAACAAAGAAATTGAGGCCAACACTGAGAGAATAGTTGGAACCTAGTAAGCTTGAGATTTTTGTATTTGATTATGATGAAATTGAACTTTAATTTATAAAGAAAAATTACAATATTTTTTTATTTTCATTTTACAGTGGATATATGGCTCCAGAGTATGCATTAGATGGATTATTTTCAGTGAAATCAGATATTTTCAGCTTTGGTGTAGTGGTACTTGAAATTATTAGTGGAAAGAAGAACACAGGATTCTTCAAATCCAAACAAGTTCCTAGCCTTCTTGGTTATGTATGCTTCATCTCGTTCACCCTCTTGGCTTGTTCTTCTATGTTATGGTGGTTTCTTATTTATGTGAATGAACCTAATGCAGGCATGGAGGCTATGGACAGAGAATAAACTGTTGGATTTAATGGACCAGTCGTTCATTGAAAGCTGCAATGTGAATCAATTCATTAGGTGTGCGCAAGTGAGTCTGTTGTGTGTACAAGATGAACCAGGAGATAGGCCTACCATGTCGCAGGTAGTGATAATGCTTGAAAGTGAGACTGTAAGCCTCCCAACTCCGAAACAACCAACTTTTTTTATGAACAGAGACAGGGGCCTTTCAAATACTGCTTCTTCTTCTAGTAAACTTGAAGGAATTCTACCAACCGAGTCTTCCTATCAAGAGGGTCGATAGTGCCTGGTGTATTATATACATAATGGATGCTATTTTTATGTTAAAACAAACTAATTTTCAAAGCCCAAATTAAAAAAGGGGTTTTGAACAGTAGGTTGATGATTCTAACCCGCATCCCCACCTCTACTCCTCGACCTTTTTCCCCCACTATTCCAGAAAATTTCACCATTTTGACTCCAAAAGGCTATTTCCAAAACATCTTTCTTCTATAATTCTCCATATTTATATTAACCGACTAAGTAAAGTTAGCGATGAAACTACTTGACCTACCATCCGAGGAAACAAAAATATAAATAGAAAATCAAAATCTTGGCCTTCATATATGTTCTTTGCTCTTCCATCATTGGATCCTCAAAGGCAACAATGTTGTGAGGGCAGTAAGAGGAAGTTGCAATGGAGAAGAGACAAAGGAAGTGGGTCATTGCCGCTGATAGTTCTAGTTCATCTTCGTCACTGTTAGATCTAGAAGAAGAGGGGTCATTGCCGGCAATAAGGGAGCTACTGAGGAGAAGAAGAGACAAAGGAGGTGGTGGCTCGCTATCGCCGGTGGATCCAGTTCATCTGTGTCTCTCACTGCTACAGAAATGAGATTTACTAATATGTATTTTGTAGCAATAAAAATAAAACGCCACTACTATTAAATGCCACGACCTCTCTATCAAGATATCAAATTTGATATTATTTTATTTTAATTTTATTTATTTTGAATGAATAATTTATAGATATTATTATTTGTAAAAATAAGAGAGGAAACGCCACGTATATATCTGTTCATTGATTTAATAATTATTTAATTATTGAAAAATATAAGTATATATATTATTAGTAATTAATGTATAATTATCTTATAAGTATACTAAACACTTACAATTTCATAAGAATACAAAATTATTTTAATAATATTATATATTGTGATTTATTATTAATTATGTAAATTATTATAAGGTTTTCTATGATTTGGAAAAATAATTAACATTAATCAAATAACAATATAAATAAACTATTTATTAAAATAATTAAATTATAAAAAATTATTATTATTTCCTATAAAACAAAATACTCATCTTATACATATATATATTTTAATTGATTTAAGAATTATTTAATTATTAAATATTATTATAAATTATTATTAGTAATTAACGTATAATTAATTTATTAATAAATTATGTGTGTAATTATAATTTACAATTATTTAATAAATAAAGGCAGATGCGTAACGTTAATAGCTCCTGAAAATGCCACCTTTCTCATTTTTTATCAATTAAGTGTAAAATATATAAAACTAAATATAAATATTTTATTATTATTTAATAAATTTTTAATAATAATTATTAATAATATTTTTTTAATTTAATTAATTTTAAATAATATTTAATTTTTATTATTATTCAATTAATGTTAATTATTTTGTCAGATTGTATAAATATTTATAATAATTTACTTAATAAATATTAAAACATAATATATAATATTGTTTGCAAAATAAAACAAATAGGTGGCATTTCTTTGCTATTGAAACACCACCTCTCTTGTTTTTATTAAAATGGTAATTTTCTTTTATAAGTATATATTATTATATCATAATATATTTAAACAATATTAATTATTACATTAGATAAAATTTTTTTACTATAATTTAAATGAATAAATTTTTTAATTTTATTATATTTAATAATAATTTTATTATATAAATAATTATTTTGTTAAAATTTATTTAATTAGAATATTTTATTATTATATAAATCTTAATAAATAAAAGAAGTGAGGTGATGTTTATTAGTAGTCAAAATTCCATCTATCTTTACTTTTAATCAGGTATTTTATTTTATAAAATTAAATATTTAATTTTTTTAATTTTTTTAATTAGAATTAATAATTAATAATTATTTTAATTAGATATTATACCTAATAAAAATACAACAAAAAAATTGTTAACAGAAAGAAGTAAAAAAATTAGAAATATTAAATATAAAAGGCAAAAATATGGATAGAGTTAATGTCTCGAGTAAAGACATAGAAGATTTAACAGTTAATAAAATTAAAAGGAATGATTTTAGGAAAAGTAAAAACATAAAAAATTATTATCTGAGACCAACACTCCTGGATTTACAATTTGAAGAAAGATACATTATGACCGCCTCTCATTATGATGGAACGTCCATACATGAGTGGAATATATATGGTTTTAGTGAATATGAAATAATGAATTTAGAACAAAAAATAACTATGGTAGTTGCCACATATAGAATAAATAATTTACAAGATAATAACATATTTTATATGTTAACTCAAGATTTACAAGAAGCCTAAAAGGTTAGTGAGAAAATGTTCTCACTGAATCAGAAAGACTTCAAGTGAAAAATAAGGTATTTAGATAATATTGAACAATTAATATGTTATAATAAAATATTTTGTAGGAGAACCTATAGGTATGCAAGAAAGATATTTAGAAAAATTAATGAATCTAGGATGTCCTACACTTGTAGATTTTAAATGATATAAAGATAATTTTATTTCAAATATTTTTTAAAGACCATATGCTAATTCAGATATATGGAAAGAAAAAATTATTTCAAGATTACCCAAGTTATTTGCCCAAAGAGTTAAAAATGAAATTAGACTGAGACAAGCTATAGGAAATATAATCGTAACTCATGGAGAAATAATTAATATGATAAACATTACAGGATTAAAATTATGTAATGAAATAAAAATGCAAAAGAAAATATATAAGGACACAAAATAGGGTAGATTAGAGTTAGGAAACTTTTGCGAGCCAGATTTGAGAAAATTCAAGCTCCATCTAGAAGAAATAAAAAGAAAAATTATATGCAAATACCCTATAAGAAATATAGAAAAAATAAAAAATATTTTTCCAAATATAGAAAAACCTTTAAGAAAGATAAATCTTTTGAAAAGGACAAAGGCAAAAAAGATAAAAAAAATATATATAGTTTGTTTTAAGTGTGGAAGATTTGGACATTACTCTAATAAGTGTAAAGTAGAAAAGAAAATTAGAGAATTGAATATAAGTGAAGAAAACAAACAAAATTTGTTAAGAATTATGATAGAAAATGATTCTAAATTTGAAGAAGAATATTCTTTAGAAGAAGAAGAACAAGAGATAGAGAAAATATTAAATATGAAAGATATAGAGGGCAATATTGAGTCATCATCTTTAGAAGAATCTAACGAAGATTGTTTAGAAAAAGGAATTTGTAGTTGAATAGAAAAACTTAGAATAAATACCTTAGACAGAGAAAACTTAAAATTTTTAGTAGAAATTATATATAAAATTCAAGATGAAGAAATAAAAAAACAATATTTACTTAAAATAAAAGATTTTTTAGATAAAGAAGAAAAACCTCAAACCTCTGCAGAACCAATAGTATAAAGGACATATTAAAAAGATTTGAACCTGATAATAGTAGACTAGTAAGAATAAAAGAACTTCAACAAGAAATAAAACAAATAAAACAAGAAATCAAAGAATTACAAGATAATGAAACTCATAGAGACATAGAAATATTACAAATAAGCACTTTATTATAAACAAATAAAACCAATAAAGAAATATAACCCAAGGATGATGAAAACATTAGTGAAATACCAACAGAAATAAATCAAAATAGGTATATCAATGTTGTTTCATAGCTAACATATAGAAAATGGTATTATCAAGTAAATTTAGTTATAAATCAAGAGTTTTCCATAACCATAGTAGTTCTGGTAGACTCAGGAGTAGATATGAATTGTATACAAGAAGGATTAATTTCAACAAAATATTATGAAAAGACATACAAAAAAATAGGGATAGCTAATAATTCTAAATTAGATATTCAATATAAATTAACAAATGCTCATATTTGTAACTAAGAAATATGTTTTAAAAACATATTTATATTGGTTAAAACTTTGATCAAACCTGCCATTATAGGAACACCTTTTTTAGAATAGATAATACCTCTTAAGGCCAGTTATGAAGGAAAAATGACAAAGATAGCTGGAAAGAAAATAGTTTTTGAATGGGTAAAACCCCTAGTAATAAAATAAATAAAAATATTAAAACAAGAGTCATTTTTTAGAATTAACTCTATACAAAGAAAAAGAAAGCAAATTAATTTTCTTAATAAAGAAATCCATCATGAAAGAATAGAAGAACAAATAGAAAATTCTCAAGTAAAGGAAAGAATAAACAATTTAAAGGAAAAATTTGAAAAAGACATTTGTTCTAAACACTCAAATGCTTTTTGGAACAGGAAAAAGCATATAGTTGAATTACTTTATGAAGAAAATTTTAGTGAAAGGCAAATCCTAACAAAAGTTAGACCAGTACAAATGAATCAACAATGGCTTGAATATTGTCACTATCACAGAAAATACCCATACTTGACGCTTATTTTTTTCAATACTTGATGGTTTTTAACCGTCAAGTAAGGGTGCGACATATATTAAAGAAATAATACTTAACGGTTAAAAACCGTCAAGTATTAATCTTATACTTGACAGTTATTTAAAAAAATCGTCAAGTATATAAAGTAAATATGCACTTCCCAGAATAAATACTTGACGCTTGTTTCAAAACAAGCGTCAAGTATTTGAAAATACTTGATGCTTGTTTCCTTATAACTGTCAAGTATTTACAAATACTTGACGCTTGTTTTGAAACAAACGTCAACTATATTGATACTTGACAGTTATTTTGAAATAACCGTCAAGTATTAATGACATAATTTTTTTTATATGGTGGCTGCTTTTAAAGCAGCCCCCTGCATAAAGATATAGATAAAGATAAAAAACAGCCAGCCAACAACAAAAATAATGCAATATAATGAATGTTAGTAATAGTATCTCCTATCTAATTAACATAAAAATTCCTATACATTTAACCTTAAAATCTAAACTTATTTGCAAACTAATGTTTCAAAATTAAGTGGCCTATCTCATAAAAATTGGCCCAAAAATGTGTATATAAATGTAACTAACTATTGTACCGGCCTAACTACTGTTGCTACCCACATATTAAAAACAAATTGGGCCACCTCTTCAAGGACCTCTTCTACATGTGCAGTCATATAACGAACGCAATAGACGTCCTCGAAGTATTGTAAGCAAATAGTTACAACAATTTCAAGTTAATAGGTAGCTAATTAAAATTGTTTAAAATTTATGATTGAAGTGTAATTAAATTTTATATATATATCTTGTTAGATAATGTAGTAGGGGCATGAGTGATAATGTCCTTCATGAACTTCATCAAGCAATAACCACAGTCATTGCTCTAATCTGTTTGCTCTGATCTGGCTGGAATGGACACTATAAAAAAAACACATATCAATGAAATTGCAAAATATAATGAGACAATTTCTTGATTAAAAACTTGACCAATTAAATGAATACCTTAACAGTGACCCATTTCTCTGAAGATTCGAATGCCCTCATCTTAGGGGACACAGTCATGTCAGTTGCAGTGTGATACAACACCACAGCTCTAAGAAGGAATTATGGAATGAATGTGAGAAATATATATGAATGAAAACTAAAATTAAAAAGAAATAACAAGTAAAAAAATCTAACTTACTTATTAAAAAGTACCACCATATCTTCCCTGTTGCTTGGCTCTCCATTAAGGGGATTGAGATACCATATTTTTGAAGCAACGGGATTAACCACAATAAGCATCCAGTATCCCCTAACAAGAAACAGCACATGTTACCAAACAAATAAATATAAAAAAAATTTACTCATAACAGATATTA